TATATATATATATAATATATAAAAGTCCTGGCTTTGGCTTTATTATCAAAACTGTATTGTAAAACACAAATGCATAAAGACACTGTGGGCCACTATCGTAATGTGATGTATTTGTATCACTATTTGCAATTGTGAACGTTTTAAACTTGCAACCAAACATTGTTTTATGTTGCAAAAACTTCATATTCACTTCTATTGGGGAAAGTTTCCAGAAATACCAAATATCTCAGGATGAATTTTGGGGAAATGTGTACAAAATGACGCATTGGATTTTTCTATATGACTGAATGGTGCCACCATAAGATAGATTAAATATTTAACTGTAAACATCCTTCAGCATTGCTTTAATGAAGAGTTGTAACAGAATATAAGTGTGGTACTGTCAGACAGTATAGAATGAAGAGATTTTGTAAACTTTAAAGCTGCTGAAGGGGAAACACAAAGTGGAGAACGCATTATTAAGAGTATAAGTAACACTCTTCTTCTCTCTTTCTCGTCCCTGCTCTCTCTTGGGTGTATTTGTTGGCCCAGGTGGGTCGGCTCAGTCTCCAGTCTGCTCCGTCTTTCAGCAGAGAGGCAGCAGTGGCGCCGGGGCAACAACCTTTAGACACAACTACTGTATCACTCAACGATCTTTTCCTCTGCTGATCCCTTCCTCCACCCTCCTCATCTTCCCTCCCCGGTCATCTCCGCCTTCCTCTGATTATGAAAATGAGGATTGATTCCTGTCTTCCTCCGCTTTCACCAGCTCTCTGAGAACCGTTTGTTGTTGCGTGCTATTGTGATGCGATCTTTTGGCATTCGTTAAATGAAACTGATGGGATGGTGTTTGCGTGCCTCATCCTGAACTTTGTGCTCTCTCGCTCGGCTGATTGTCCGTCCAGCTCTTTGTCCGTCCGGCAGAACAGGAAAAAAGGCATAAAGCAAGCTTCCCATTTGTGCTCTGGTGGGACTGAGGTCTTTTTTTAGCTGTGTTCGCTGACAGGGATGTGGATATACAGCTAAATAAAACATAAGGCCTTGATGAGTAGCTACATCAATCCACCCACTCACTTTTCTTTCCAAAATCCCCTCGTTAGCCATTATAGAGCAGTATTACAATGGCAGGATAAGAAACACGGAATAAAAGAAAATAATCTTGCTGCAGATAGAGACGAATCTGATGCACAGCAAGACAAAAATCCCAATTCTTCATCTTTATGGTATTTAATAGTGACGAGTTCCAATTGGAAGCTTGATCCTCCTTGCGCGGCCTCCATCATTTCATTCAGTATACCAGAGACCCGGTTTCTGCTGCGTTCAGCTCATGTTAGTCCTCTTAACAGCCCACCTGTGTCTCAAAGTGATTGTTGTTATTGTTGATGCTGTCCTCTCGCATGTGGCCACATGCTGTAAACCACACACCATGAACACCCCGACACATTCCTCGTGTTCATGCACTCTTTTTTAACCACCCCGAGGCGTCTCATCAATCCTTCATTCGACTGTCACCCCATCAGCGATGAGTCAGTAACAAACTGCATATCCTGGGTCATCGGAAAGTATGAGTACTTGGCTTCTCAAAATATACACAAAGGGCAATAAGACACAAACACACTCACTACAGCGACGGTCTGTCTGAGCTGCAGAGCGTCTCTTTGGTCTTTTATCTTGACCTTTTGTGTTTGCGAGTTTAAGGGTCCGTTTTTTGGTGACACTCGCTGTGCCAAAATAGCGTGAGGTGTGTGTTCTTGTTGACTAGGTGTGTTCGAGGGTTGGTGGGGGTCCGACAGTTGTTTGATGTGTGTGTTAAGCTGCCACAGACCACATGCACGCCCCCCCCCCCCCCTGCACTGAGACAGCTGGTTACTTGAGGCTTTGTTTGCAATCTGACCAACTCCTGAGTCAGAGCCCTTCTGAAGATTCATGATATCACACGTCTGACCTGATAGCAGCTCGACAGCCGTGATGATAGACAGACTCACAGGCAAACACCTGAGCCAGCACAATTTACATTACCAATCACATCAACAGTCTGATCTGTTCTTTTAATTATCTCAGTGCTGCCAAAGGTAACACTTGCAGCAGCGCGGCTGGAAAGATTCAACATTTGGGCGTCGATACCGCCTGCTCAAATTCTCCCTTTACTTTTTTCAGCAAAGACGGTGAAGTTGTTGACACCAGCTTGTTAAGCCACCAGGACTCGACAGATTCACGCCTTTTCTTACTATTCCAGTAATGACTGATGTGGCTTCAGCTAGAGTTTTACAGCCTTTTGCGTGGACGAAACAGACCTTAAATAGTCTGATATACCGGCAACTTGCTAGTGGCATGTCAGACTGTGTGAGGGAAAAATGTTTGTAGGTCTCCTGAAGCTGGTGCATGGAATAGGATTGGGTATGATTGGGCATGACAGAACAGAATACAACACGATACGATACACGTTTTATTGCTTGTGTAGGGAAAACAGCATAAGGGGCGTGTTGCTGCTTCAGGTAGACTGGTGAGACAATCTAAGAAATGTGCGAATGACGTCATGTTGTGTTACGGCAAAAGTTGAGCATGGTTCAACGGTTTTCCTGGAAACTTGCTGGAGCTCCTGTGTCGGCATTACTGCTGCAACGACGGACTGGCCTCATTCAAATGGGCAGGAGCGTCTGTGCTGACGGGGGCCAGATTAAATGAACGGTGCAGCGCAATCGTCCCATGTCAACTTATTTGATTTCTGGGTATTTGGACTGGTCAAGAATAGCTTCTCAGTCCAAAAGTCCTGACTCCAGAAACACAGCCAGTTCTGGCAGCCGTAAACTCAATGGGCCCGATCTCTCCCATTTGGTCTGGAACCAAGGCACTGAAGTGAGCTGACCTTCGGTCGAAATTGGCTCAAATCTAAATCTAAGCATGATAATGTAATAAGCGCCGCAAATCGATTATATCATCTAACTGCTTCTTCTTTTCCTCAATCATAGATTCATCCATTATTTTCCACTTGGCTTGTGTTCTTCAGAAAACCAATACGTAGAGACTTGTGGAAAAAGCGTCCAGGTCTTACTCGTTTGATACGGCAGGAAGCAGCCGGTGCAGTCTTCTTGCCGAGTTTGTCTATATGATAACGTGCACTTCCTTGTCCTCACTCAGCGCACGCACATGCAATGTTTTCATGACCTTACAGCCCTGCTGACCCCATTGCAGTCCCTCCTCCAGGGCAGCAGCAGCTATTCTGAATCAGCAGCTAACACACACATGGTTGTCCAATTTCTGTTTGTAGGTCAGGCAGCCGGAGGACTCTGTTGATATAAATCTTCCTGCTTTCAAGATGTTGTTGTCTTCTTGTGCCAGCACAGCAGCTGAACAGAATTGTTTATCTAATTGAATGTGAGGACAGGAGAGGGAAATCCCAAATTGTTTTCATGAAGAGGTATAAACAGCTCAAACTCCAGGGTCACCAGTAAGAAAATATAACAAATGGAGAAAGGCGGAGCGCGTCCTCGTCTCTCTCACGCAGGACAGCTGAGGAGTTTCAATCAGAGGGAACATAAGCGAGAGGCTCATTTATCATTTATAGAAGCAGTGAGGTAACACTGCTGCTGCAAGACATCGCGACAACTGTGGTTGTTAGCATGGACAAATAGTTGTATCAGTGTATGTTTCCACTT